CAGCTGTGCCAATGGTACACTCTTCCTGCTGTGCCAATGGTACACTTTTTTCCTGCTGTGCCAATGGTACACTTTTCTCCTGCTGTGCCAATGGTACACTTTTCTCCTGCTGTGCCAATGGTACACTTTTTTCCTGCTGTGCCAATGGTACACTTTTTTCCTGCTGTGCCAATGGTACACTTTTTTCCTGCTGTGCCAATGGTACACTTTTTTCCTGCTGTGCCAATGGTACACTTTTTTCCTGCTGTGCCAATGGTACACTTTTTTCCTGCTGTGCCAATGGTACACTTTTTTCCTGCTGTGCCAATGGTACACTTTTTTCCTGCTGTGCCAATGGTACACTTTTTTCCTGCTGTGCCAATGGTACACTTTTCTCCAGCTGTGCCAATGGTACACTTTTCTCCAGCTGTGCCAATGGTGCACTTTTCTCCAGCTGTGCCAATGGTGCACTTTTCTCCAGCTGTGCCAATGGTACACTTTTCTCCAGCTGTGCCAATGGTACACTTTTCTCCAGCTGTGCCAATGGTACACTTTTTTCCTGCTGTGCCAATGGTACACTTTTTTCCTGCTGTGCCAATGGTACACTTTTTTCCTGCTGTGCCAATGGTACACTTTTTTCTTGCTGTGCCAATGGTACACTTTTCTCCTGCTGTGCCAATGGTACACTTTTCTCCAGCTGTGCCAATGGTGCACTTTTTTCCTGCTGTGCCAATGGTACATTTTCCTGCTGTGCCAATGGTGCACTTTTTTCCTGCTGTGCCAATGGTGCACTTTTCTCCTGCTGTGCCAATGGTGCACTTTTCTCCAGCTGTGCCAATGGTACACTTTTCTCCAGCTGTGCCAATGGTGCACTTTTTTCCTGCTGTGCCAATGGTGCACTTTTTTCCTGCTGTGCCAATGGTGCACTTTTCTCCAGCTGTGCCAATGGTGCACTTTTATCCAGCTGTGCCAATGGTGCACTTTTTTCCTGCTGTGCCAATGGTACACTTTTCTCCTGCTGTGCCAATGGTACACTTTTCTCCTGCTGTGCCAATGGTACACTTTTTTCCTGCTGTGCCAATGGTACACTTTTTTCCTGCTGTGCCAATGGTACACTTTTTTCCTGCTGTGCCAATGGTGCACTTTTTTCCTGCTGTGCCAATGGTACACTTTTTTCCTGCTGTGCCAATGGTACACTTTTTTCCTGCTGTGCCAATGGTACACTTTTTTCCTGCTGTGCCAATGGTACACTTTTTTCCTGCTGTGCCAATGGTGCACTTTTTTCCTGCTGTGCCAATGGTGCACTTTTTTCCTGCTGTGCCAATGGTACACTTTTTTCCTGCTGTGCCAATGGTACACTTTTTCCCTGCTGTGCCAATGGTACACTTTTTCCCTGCTGTGCCAATGGTACACTTTTCTCCAGCTGTGCCAATGGTACACTTTTCTCCAGCTGTGCCAATGGTACACTTTTCTCCAGCTGTGCCAATGGTGCACTTTTCTCCAGCTGTGCCAATGGTACACTTTTCTCCAGCTGTGCCAATGGTACACTCTTCCTGCTGTGCCAATGGTACACTTTTTTCCTGCTGTGCCAATGGTGCACTTTTTTCCTGCTGTGCCAATGGTACACTTTTTTCCTGCTGTGCCAATGGTACACTTTTATCCAGCTGTGCCAATGGTGCACTTTTCTCCAGCTGTGCCAATGGTACACTTTTTTCCAGCTGTGCCAATGGTACACTTTTCTCCAGCTGTGCCAATGGTACACTTTTTTCCTGCTGTACCAATGGTACACTTTTATCCAGCTGTGCCAATGGTGCACTTTTATCCTGCTGTGCCAATGGTAAATTTTCCTGCTGTGCCAATGGTGCACTTTTTTCCTGCTGTGCCAATGGTGCACTTTTTTCCTGCTGTGCCAATGGTGCACTTTTCTCCAGCTGTGCCAATGGTACACTTTTCTCCAGCTGTGCCAATGGTGCACTTTTTTCCTGCTGTGCCAATGGTACACTTTTTTCCTGCTGTGCCAATGGTACACTTTTCTCCAGCTGTGCCAATGGTACACTTTTCTCCAGCTGTGCCAATGGTGCACTTTTTTCCTGCTGTGCCAATGGTACACTTTTCTCCTGCTGTGCCAATGGTACACTTTTTTCCTGCTGTGCCAATGGTACACTTTTCTCCTGCTGTGCCAGTGGTACACTTTTCTCCTGCTGTGCCAATTGTGCACTATTCCTGCTGTGCCAATGGTGCACATTTTTCCTGCTGTGCCAATGGTGCACTTTTCCTGCTGTGCCAATGGTGCACTTTTATCCTGCTGTGCCAATGGTACACTTTTTTCCTGCTGTGCCAATTGTGCACTCTTCCTGCTGTGCCAATGGTGCACATTTTTCCTGCTGTGCCAATGGTGCACTTTTTTCCTGCTGTGCCAATGGTGCACTCTTCCTGCTGTGCCAATGGTGCAAATTTTTCCTGCTGTGCCAATGGTGCACTTTTTCCTGCTGTGCCAATGGTGCACTTTTTTCCTGCTGTGCCAATGGTACACTTTTTTCCTGCTGTGCCAATTGTGCACTCTTCCTGCTGTGCCAATGGTGCACATTTTTCCTGCTGTGCCAATGGTGCACATTTTTCCTGCTGTGCCAATGGTGCACTTTTTTCCTGCTGTGCCAATGGTGCACTTTTTTCCTGCTGTGCCAATGGTGCACTTTTTTCCTGCTGTGCCAATGGTGCACTTTTTTCCTGCTGTGCCAATGGTGCACATTTTTCCTGCTGTGCCAATGGTGCACTTTTTTCCTGCTGTGCCAATGGTGCACTTTTTTCCTGCTGTGCCAATGGTGCACTTATCCTGCTGTGCCAATGGTACACTTTTCTCCAGCTGTGCCAATGGTACACTTTTCTCCAGCTGTGCCAATGGTGCACTTTTTTCCTGCGGTGCCAATGGTGCACTTTTTTCCTGCTGTGCCAATGGTACACTTTTTTCCAGCTGTGCCAATGGTACACTTTTCTCCAGCTGTGCCAATGGTACACTTTTTTCCTGCTGTGCCAATGGTACACTTTTATCCAGCTGTGCCAATGGTACACTTTTCTCAAGCTGTGCCAATGGTGCACTTTTTTCCTGCTGTGCCAATGGTACACTTTTTTCCTGCTGTGCCAATGGTGCACTTTTTTCCTGCTGTGCCAATGGTGCACTTTTTTCCTGCTGTGCCAATGGTACACTTTTCTCCAGCTGTGCCAATGGTGCACTTTTTTCCTGCTGTGCCAATGGTGCACTTTTCTCCAGCTGTGCCAATGGTGCACTTTTTTCCTGCTGTGCCAATGGTGCACTTTTTTCCTGCTGTGCCAATGGTGCACTTTTTTCCTGCTGTGCCAATGGTGCACTTTTTTCCTGCTGTGCCAATGGTGCACTTTTTTCCTGCTGTGCCAATGGTGCACTTTTTTCCTGCTGTGCCAATGGTGCACTTTTTTCCTGCTGTGCCAATGGTGCACTTTTTTCCTGCTGTGCCAATGGTACACTTTTCTCCAGCTGTGCCAATGGTGCACTTTTCTCCTGCTGTGCCAATGGTACACTTTTCTCCAGCTGTGCCAATGGTACACTTTTCTCCAGCTGTGCCAATGGTACACTTTTCTCCTGCTGTGCCAATGGTACACTTTTCTCCTGCTGTGCCAATGGTGTACTTTTTTCCTGCGGTGCCAATGGTGCACTTTTCTCCTGCTGTGCCAATGGTGCACTTTTCCTGCTGCTCCGTGTCTCCCGCGACAGTCAGCTCCGCACCAGCTTACCCCTCCGCCAGGCTTAACACGGGAGAGCTAGGCCACAACCTGCTCCTTCCCCCGAAGCACCACAAAAACACAATCTTATAATAAGCAAGATATGTATCACATCCTGACCTCAGAAAGCCACTAAAAATTAGGACCAATCCAGCCTCCTCCCGACGCAGGTCACTCCCGAGAGGAGCCTGCTGGGACCCGGGTGGACAGCGCCATAAGGAAGGAACTGTTCACCCCCTGGGCTCGCTTCACGCACCTGCATCTGACCTGTGACCCCGTGGGGAGGCCTGGCCCGGAGAGGGAGGGTCGCACAGCCCAGCGGGGGACACGGTGCCCGCGCCTGGGAACATGGACACCTGCGTCTGCGATGCGCGGGCGCTCCGGTCGGAGGAATCGCACCCTCTCCTCCCCGGATAACAACTCCAGTCCTTCGGGTGGAAGGAAACACGGGTTTCACAAAACGACCTTTTTCACATTTTTCCGGGATCGCAGAAAGCTCGCCCCCGCTGCGCTGCAAAGTGTGTCCAGGGCGCGAGCGCGCACCCGGAGTGCGCCGAGGGCGGGGACACGGGTCGGCGCCCAAGGCGGCGGTGAACCTGCCGGAGTCCCCCTCCCCCGTCCGTCCGCCCCCCGCGGGAAAGAGGCGCCTTAGGAAACGACCCCGCGGGCGGCGGCCTCCCGACCCGCCATCCAGGAAGCAGCGGGGTCCGGTCGGAGGGAGCGGAAGGCGGGCCACCTGCGCTCCGCCGCCCCCGCCGCGCGTCTCGGGCGGAGCCCCCTCGAACCCTGAGCCACAGGACCCCCTGACGGCGCCCCAGGAGGGTCCGCGGCCGAGCCTCCACCGGCCGGCGCCCCCACCCGGCGCTTTCCGCCCCCGCGCGACCGGGCGGCCCGCCCATGGCCGCCGCCACCTGAGCTCAGGTGCGAAGGTGACGCGCTCAGCCCGCGCGGCTCCGGGCGCAGGGCGCGGCCCAGGGAGCGCGGACCCGCCGCCCGAACGGGGCCCGCGGCGGCGGCCGGAGGGGGAGGCGCGGCCGCACCCGGTGGCGGAGCCGGGGGCGCTGGCCGCCCCGAGGCCTCCCGCCCTCGCCGCCCGGACGCCGGAGACCAGCCCGACCGGGAGGCGCCGCGGGGAGGGTCCCGCCCCTCCCGCCCCTCCCGCCCGGCCGGTCCCGGCGCAGGTGAGCGCCCGCGGCCTCGTCCAGGTGCGGGGCGCGCCCGGGGAGAGCCCGCCGCCCGCCGCCCGCCGCCCGCCCCGCACTCACCAGCGCCGCCGGCCCCTCGGCGGACCGCGGCCGCCTCCTGCTCCCTCCGCCGGCGCTCCCGGGCCCCGCCTCGCCGCCGCCCGGCACGCCGCGCTCCTCACGCCGAGCTCTCCGCGGCCTCCGCCCGGAGCCCCTCGCCGCCGCGGCCGCGCTCCCACCGGCGCCGACTGCCCGAGCGGTGTCCACGACGGCCCCTGCGCACTGCGCACGCGCGCCGCGCCGCCGCGGCCCCCAGACGGCGGCCGAGATTCCCGAGCGGGCACTCCCAGGCCGCGAGACTACAATTCCCGGCAGGCCCCGCGCGGCTCGGCGAGCCGGGTATCCGGTGTCTGCTTGGTTCCCGGGGAGGAGGCTTCGGGCACGTCGGGGCGGGTCGCGCGCAGAGCTCTGGGCCCCTGGGCAGCGGAGCATCCTGGGATTCGTAGTTTTCGACAGCAAGGGGCTTGGCTCGGGGGCGGGGCTCGGGATTCTCTGATGTCATCGCCTGGAATAGAGCTTCGTGGCACCGGGATCTCTAAAGACAGGTTTCGTTCGTTCGTTTGCAGATAAGCTGTTTGCCAGCTGCCCCAGCGTCAGTGCAGGAAGCACAGACTCACTGGCTGTGGCGTGACCCGCAGAACCACGCTTCTCAGCTCCCGCGCCAATTCTGCGCCCTAACCATTCCTACCTAGAACTGTAGCCCCACCTCCTACCCTAGGGACCCGAGCCTCAGAGACACTTAAAGGGTCAGTTGAAAGTCTTTCAGAAAAGATGGAGCATAGCCATGTCTTTTCATAAATACTTATTCATAGTTAGCACCTACTGTGTGCCAAGTCCCGTGATGGGCACGAGGCCGACGTCTGAGAACGAGGCAGGCTCCTTCAGGCCTTCATGGAGCCTGCAGTCTGTAAGGGGAGCGAGTCCTTAAGACAATGATAGATGTTAGGGCCATGCAGTAACTGGGCAGTTAGAGGGTGGGGGAGGAGGGGCTCTGTATGGGGTGGTCAGCGAAGGCTCTCCGAGGAACTGATATTTGAGCTGGAACCTGAAAAGTGAGAATGACTCAGACATGCCAGGGGCTGGGAGAGCATTGCTTGCCATGCCTTCACAGTGCACGCACCACCGGGCTCTCGGGCCCTGTTTGCTGTGTCCTCCTTCCTTTCCTTCCGCTGCCCGGCCTTAGATCACATCCTTCCCTCTTCACATCTGTACCAGCTCTGTTCAGAACGTCCTTCCTAGAGGAAGATGTGCAGGAGACAGGTCCGTGCCCAGCAGGAGGACAAGCTGCACGGCCAGGACGGAAGGTGCAAGTTAAATGCCAATGAGCCTGTGGGCATGGCGGGAACTCCCACTAGTTAACCCCTCCCGTCGTTGGGAACTGGGTGAAAAGTCTGGGCCTGCCTGGCCAGCGTGGCTCGGTGGTTGAGCATCGGCCTGTGACCTGGAGGTCACGGTTCCATTCCCGGTCAGGGCACAGGCCCAGGCTGCAGGCTCGATCCCAGTAGGGGGCGTGCAGGAGGCAGCCGATCCATGATTCTCTGTCATCATTGATGTTTCTCTCTCTCTCTCTTTCTCTCCCCCCCCCCCCCCCCGCTCTCCCTCCGTCTCTGAAATCAATAGAAATATATATATATATTTAAAAAAATAAAAGTCTGGGCCCTCAGCCTGGCCTCCTGACTTGATTCTGTTCATGAGGCAGAAAATCGGATTTGGAGTGTCTTTATTAGGATCCTAAAGGAGCTTCGACTTTATCTCATCTGAACCAGTGGGAAGTGGAAGACAGCCAAAGACTTACCTGCGGAGACTTACCTGTGTGCCTCGCTGTACTGGCCCTTAGCGGCCAGCTGCTCACCTTACAGAGTGTTCAGAGCCCCATGCACGGATGGCAGTGAAAACACCTCACAGGCTTCATGGAAGGCTCTGGTCCTGGCTTTTACAGACTTCCACCTTCCACACTCCCAAGACCACTGGTCCGTTTTCTTCCGGGAGACCCTGGTCGTGTGGCCCAGCAGACACCCTTCTTCTCCAGGCCTCGCGTCCTCGCCTGCTCGCCGGGTGAAAGGGTTTGGTTTCCCCACAGTCTGTGCGCTGCCCAGAGCACTGTTTCCGCCGGCCCACCGTGGCCTTGGGGGTTTTGTTTTGTTTTTTAATTAAATGTATTTTTATTGGTTTCAGAGAGGAAGGGAGAGGGAGAGAGAGAGAAACATCAGTGATGAGAGAGAATCATAGATCGGCCGCCTCCTGCACGCCCCACACTGGGGATCAAGCCCACAACCCGGGCCTGTGCCCTGACCGGGAAACGAACTGTGACCTCCTGGTTCCTAGGTCAACGCTCAACCCCTGAGCCAGGCCAGCTGGGCTGGGCAGAGTTTGTTGTCGTCGTCGTTGTTTTTAACGGAATGTGTGGCTAACATTTAAAAGTAGGGAAATTGCACATAAAAACCCAGGTGTCACCTGCCTGATCCCTCTAAACATTTGAGCTTGCCTTTCCTAGCTAGAAGTTCTGGAAGGGGTCTCCAACTCAGGAATTCTAGAAGATTCTAGATGGAATATTTGGGACATACTTAAAATGAAAAAAAAAAAAGGAAAATCCCTGGTTTTTCTGAAATTCAAATGCAATGTCTTGTGTTTGATCTGAAAACCCTCTTAGACAGTGGTTCTCAACCTTCCTAATGCTGCGACCCTTTAATACAGTTCCTCATGTTGTGGTGACCCCCAACCATAAAATTATTTTCGTTGCTACTCCAGCACTGTAATTTTGCTACTGTAAACAATATGTAATTATCTATGTGTTTTTCGATGGTCTTAGGCGACCCCTGTGAAAGGGTCGTTCGACCCCCAAAGGGGTCGCGACCCCCAGGGTGAGAACCGCTGGCCTTAGAGCTCAGCCCACAGGGGCGGAGGGTCTCTCACACCCTCGGGAATCTTGTCCTCATCGGTCTTCTCCTTTGGCGTTATTGGCTGAGGGCTTTGAAATTCTTCCCTCGCTCGTATTGCCCAGCAAGCCCCAAAGGTGGTTTGACATTGAGAGCCACGTGCATAGACAGCGAGGGAGCCAGAGATGGGACTCAGGCGAGGCTGCAGGGTTGGGGTTGGGTTGGGGTTGGGGTTGGGTTGGGGTTGGGGTTGGGGTTGAGGTTGGGTTGGGGTTGGGGTTGGGGTTGAGGTTGGGTTGGGGTTGGGGTTGGGTTGGGGTTGGGGTTGGGGTTGGGTTGGGGCTGGGTTGGGGTTGGGGTTGGGGTTGAGGTTGGGTTGGGGTTGGGTTGGGGTTGGGGTTGGGGTTGGGGTTGGGGTTGAGGTTGGGTTGGGGTTGGGGTTGGGTTGGGGTTGGGGTTGGGGTTGGGGTTGGGTTGGGGTTGGGGTTGGGGTTGGGTTGGGGTTGGGTTGGGGTTGGGGTTGGGGTTGGGGTTGGGGTTGGGTTGGGGTTGGGGTTGGGTTGGGGTTGGGGTTGGGGTTGGGGTTGGGTTGGGGTTGGGGTTGGGGTTGGGTTGGGTTGGGTTGGGTTGGGTTGGGTTGGGGTGGGGTTGGGGTTGGGGTTGGGGTTGGGGTTGGGTTGGGGTTGGGGTTGGGGTTGGGTTGGGTTGGGGTTGGGGTTGGGGTTGGGGTTGGGTTGGGGTTGGGTTGGGGTTGGGGTTGGGGTTGAGGTTGAGGTTGGGTTGGGGTTGGGGTTGGGTTGGGGTTGGGGTTGGGTTGGGGTTGGGTTGGGGTTGGGGTTGGGGTTGAGGTTGGGTTGGGGTTGGGGTTGGGTTGGGGTTGGGGTTGGGTTGGGTTGGGGTTGGGGTTGGGTTGGGTTGGGGTTGGGGTTGGGATTAGGGTTGGGGTTGGGGTTGAGGTTGGGGTTGAGGTTGGGTTGGGGTTGGGGTTGGGGTTGAGGTTGGGTTGGGGTTGGGGTTGAGGTTGGGTTGGGGTTGGGGTTGGGGTTGAGGTTGGGTTGGGGTTGGGGTTGGGTTGGGGTTGGGGTTGGGGTTGAGGTTGGGTTGGGGTTGGGGTTGGGTTGGGGTTGTGTTGGGGTTGGGGTTGGGATTGGGGTTGGGTTGGGGTTGGGTTGGGTTGGGGTTGGGTTGGGGTTGGGGTTGAGGCTGGGTTGGGGTGGGGTTGGGGCTGGGGCTGGGGTTGGGTTGGGGTTGGGGTTGGGGTTGGGTTGGCGTTGGGTTGGGTTGGGGTTGGGTTGGAGTGGGGTTGGGGTCGGGGTCGGGGTCGGGGTCGGGGCTGGGGCTGGGGTTGGGGTCGGGGTCGGGGTCGGGGTCGGGGTTGCAGTGTAAGCAGGCCTGATGACAGCCTCCTGGGAGGAGGACTTGGGATCGGCCAGTAAATGCAGCAACAAAACCTGAGGATCCTCTCCGGCTTCTCCTGCCTGGTTTGGACGGAGAGGGTCATTACGTAACTGCTTTCTTCCGTCTGTGGAATATTCCCTTGTTGAGATGACAGCCTGGGAGCCAACCAGGAACATCCGGGACCCACAGACAGTGTGAGGAATTCTGGAATGTTCCACGGAGACTGGTCATCTGAAGAAATGGTGAGGAGTCTGAAGTCCAGAATCTGCCATTTACATTTTTTTGTTCATTTATTTAAATATGTTTTTATTGATTTCAGAGCGGAAGGGAGAGAGAGAGAGAAACATCCATGATGAGAGAGAGTCACTGATTGGCTGCCTCCTGCACACCCCACACTGGGGATCGAGCCCGCAACTGTTGACCTCGTGGTCCTAGGCAGACCCTCAGCCACGGAGCCACGCCGGCCAGGCTGCCGCTTACCTCTACGCCGTCACTGCCGTCCCAGCGCCATGCCCCGCGCGTGTAAAGCATCTGAAGTTCACCCGGGAACACTCGCTGAGCCCCTGCTCCGTGCCGTGTGGAGAGGGCGTGTGACTGGCCCAGAGCCACACAGGAAGTGACCGCGCACTGTTGGCCCTCGGATACCTGCCCTCCCCGCCCAGCGCCGACCCGGCCTCTCTCCCTCCCCTTAGCCATGACCACCTTCCCACACACGCCGTGTTCGTCTGACTTTCTGCACGCCTCACTCAGCGTGCCCTCCACACACAGGCCCTGTCTCTGTCTGGCTCATCAGTTTACTCTCAGCGCCCAGAACAGAAATGCCTGGTCAGTGAGGAAGGCCACCAGTCCCGTTGGGAACGGGGCCAGAGTCCGAAGTCAAGGAGAGGAGCACCTCCAGACCTCACCCCCCACCCCCTCCGCCCGTTCCTGCGACCGGCACACGGGGTCCGATGACTCAGCCGGAGGACCACCGCTCAGAGGATTTTATGGGAAGGAAGGTGATTGGGAGCCAGCAAGCG